CACAGCAGAAGCCATAAAGGAAACCATCTTACATTCAGGTTGGAAAGTTCTCCCACACGTATTCTTCAGACTTGGCTCCATCTGATTTCACTTGTTTTGGTCGATGCAATACGCACTGTCTGATACATATTTTTCAACAGTTGACGACGTACGAAATTTCATCGATGATTTTATAACCTCAAAGCCACCAAGTTTCTATCGTGATGGGATTTATTGGGCAGCTGCCCAATAAATGGCGAAAGGTCATTGATAACAACGGAGAATATTTCATTGATTAATCTTGTTCTATTGATCTTTCAGTAAAGATTGAAAGTTGTCGAAAATCAGAAAGAATTAACTACATAACCTAATCAATCAAACTAATAATCAGTAAAGTACACGAAAAAATAATATAAGCGGAGGAGAGGTATATTCTTCCCTCCTTTCCAAAAAAACTTGACCTAACCCAACTTTCAAGCTACATCATGGCAATATTAGCATCTTCTAATAATTCACCTTGATATCATAGCGGTGTGAAGGGTAGGTTAGGTTAAGCAAAGTTAGTTTGGGTTTTTTGGGGATGGGGTGCGAGGAGGGATGAACCCCCTGCCGGAAGTTTGCTTCTTAGCGGTTCAACGTGTAAGATGTACACATAAACATGACCTGCCGAAATACGACGGGCATATCGGTGAAATGGCAATACAGCCGAGTACGTTCAGCTGGAATTATTTTGACAACGTTAAATCGTTACTCTAACGAACTCGATTTAGCTGGATTTCGCTGACTTTAGCTGGGTACATTCGCGTACACGATTTGAGCTAATAATCATCATATGAAACCGACATTACGGAAACCTGACATTACCGAATCGTTTCTTGCGGCGACTTGCCGTTATCGCTTAAGCCGTCAACCATCACTGACTTTAGCGGGTCTCACATTCTGTTGGATGAAAGATGTCCCCACACGGATCATATCTTGACAATCGAAAGATCCGTCCTCTTTGTGTACGAACACAAAGAAAAACATGTCGACTCGTCTGCTGATTTCCCGTAAGGGGACGAATCTCCTCATTGAAGACGCGATCCGTGCGGCGAGATTTCTGCTGGCCGAGGAAAGAGCAAACTTGCTCGCCGGCGAATGTCGCTGTCGTGTTGCGGCATCTCGCCAGTAATAATATAGAAGCCAATTAAGGGACACACAGAGCGGGCTTTTTAACTTTGCCGGCTGAAGTTGCCGCTACGATAACGACTTTGAAATCTCTCGTTAAGAGCTCGCGATAGCGACCTTTTCACATTAAGACCGAACTTTGCCCGCTGATGTATGCCCGGTCGTTCGAAAAGATTCTCCATTTCCGAATCCTGGCGAACTTCCTCGTGACTTTATCGTGACCTTTCCTTTCGCGTAATCACGACAAATCAGGACTTTAGGGCCCCACGGCGAAACCGCGAAAACGCGGGCTACCGCTCGTTTCTCGTGACTTGAAAAATCATAATCTTTTTTAGCGTGACCGGATTCAACTTCCGTAGCGCGGCGGAAACGGGAGGGAGAGGAACACTGCGATACAAATCAGATGCGTCCTCCCCGAGAGCTCCTGCGAAGACGAATGAAAAGGGAAGAGCCCGGCGCGAGATTTGGCGTGCGAGTTAGCGGAATAATATCTCTAATGGAAACTCTCCCGACGAGAGAGTACATTTGCATGCCTAAGCTCTCTCTCTTATCGATCGTATTTGTTATCGCGCGCGCACGAGAGAGGGAGGGAGGGAGGATAGAATCGGCTCGCTACATATCTGAAGCGGAGCAGGCACCGTCGCGTCCTCGCGAGAGTTGAGATAACACCGCCTCGAAGAATCCGGAACGTTTCTACACGCTCGCATTCGTGCTCATAAAAACGAAGGAAAGAGAAGCAGACGGAGCGAGAGCGAGACAGAGAGGGAGAGAGAGAGAGAGAGAGAGAGAGAGAGAGAGAGAGAGAGAGAGAGAGAGAGAGAGAGAGAGAGAGAGAAAGAAAGAGACAAGGAGAAGACGGGAGGTCCATAATTTACTAACTTCCTGCGCGTCGCGGAGGAATCGAGCGGCTGTCGCTGAGAGCAGTCGATACCGAGGAAGCAATAAAAATACCGAGTCTCGCTCGTAAATGTTGGCAGAAATGCTATCGGGTGATCACAAAGCGCCAGGGGGGGAAGGAGGGGACGCAGGTTTCCCCGGCAGGGACGCGTTCCTCTGCCGGGGAAACACGCGGCGAAGTCGCGAAGGTGCGCTCTCTCTCTCTCTCTCTCTCTCTCTCTCTCTCTCTCTCCCTTTCTCTCTCTCTCTCTCTCTCTCTCGTCCACCTGCTTAACTATCTGTCGCCTAGTGCGGAGCTATGAGGATCGCAACAGGTGTCTCGTCGCTTAGCGCGAAATGTGTGTGTGTGTGTGTGTGTGTGTGATCATTCGTTCCCGGACAATTATATGATTTCGATCGCGGTTACGCCGCGGACGAGAGCGGGAGAGAGGGAAGGAGAGAGTCGCTCTCGGCCCTGGCAGATGCCCGATCGCTGCTCGATTGACCGCAGAGGGGAATGGGGAACCAGGGGGACAAATTTCACTCGGATAAATTCTCGCGCCGGGGGGGGGAACTTTTCCGGTCCGAACATCCGCGGCCGACGCTGAATCGCTGAAATCATCGCGCTCGCGAAGTAACCATGTCGCGTCTCTCCTCTCTTCCCGCGCGAAATGGCGGGAGGGAAGTTCGAGAAAGAAACTCGCGACGGAGGTGAGGTATTTACGGCGCTCGTTTACGTGTCGCGATTATTTCTGTCAGACCCGCGCGCACGCTCGTAAAAACTCCCCCCCCCCCCCTCCTCCGGGATGCAAATGGCTCATTTCGCGAAGCGGCCGATGATAAACTGGGATCGAGCATCGGCGGTTTGCATTGCACGCGTGGGCGCTGGCGACGCGCGCAATCATGTAATTCGACATGGCGCTACACTTAATTGCGATTTTCGCGTTTGACATAATAAAACCGAAAATTAGATAGCGCCGTCGCGCGGGGCTTAGCAGTCGTGTAAGCTGCGAGCTTACGAAGTTACACAAGCTTAATACCCGATACGTGCGCGGCCGCGCAGGGACCCGGAATGCCCCCCTCCCCCCCCCCGGCTCGACTCCTCTCTCGGCCTTTTTATCGGCCGCACCTCTTTCGCCGCGAGAAGCGGGTTTATTTGCGCTTTCATAATCACGCTCGAATCGCTCATTATGTCGCGTGGCTAAGATTCGTGTACATATTTTTTCAAACGCCCCTCCGGCCGAGTGTATCGAGATTAAAGGCGGAATGTGCTTTGAGCCTGGTTTGTCATAATCAAGGCACTTGATGCCAGAGAGAGGGAGGGAAGGTGTAATTAGAGCGGATTAAGAGAACAAACGGGACGGCCGATCGAAATTCCTTGATAAGGAGAAATTTGACTCTTGGTCCAATAACGCGCGAGCGGCCTTCAATCATGAAGCGATTGTACGCGGTTATTTTTGGACAGGATGCAACTGGACACGTTTCAATTGGGTGCATTGAATTTAGGCACGATTACTGTCATAACTTTTGGTTAAGAGTACGAATGGGCGCCTTTTGCACATGTTTCCCCGCGCGCGTGTGGTAGCAGAAGACTCCGTCAATGCTTCCCCATCGCATGGTGGCATTTGAGATTCTGTCATCAAATCCGACGCATCGTGTTGTAGATGATTGTAGATCATGACTGTCGATTTTGCACGAGGAATCTGCAATTACTAACTCTGGACCTAATTCAATTTTTATTATTATTTTAATATGTACACAGGATGCTCAGGATTTTTTGGAAACGATAAATTTTGAAGATTAATCAGATTAGAGTGAGAAAAAAAATCAGATAAAGTTAAGTAATTTTATAAAAATCGCAATTTTAGTTATTAAGTTAATTAAAGTTATTAATTTTAGTTATTGATGATCGAAAATAATCACATCTAGAGGCTCTTTTAATTGATAATTTGAACATTTACGTACTTATTTGCAAAATGGTGAAGGACTTTTTTCTTCAGAATGTGGAAATTGGTTTATTAAAAAGTCAAGTGGTTTATATATTTCAAATTTTATTAAAAATATTTATAAAAGTTATTCAGATTAATTAGTTATTGACAATAATGAAAATTCTATAAAAAATTTATAAAAGTTATTATGAAAATATAAAGATTGGGAATCTATCAATATTAAATATTGCATTCGGCAATTGTTCGGAATACAATAATAATAGTAATAATAATAATAATAATAATAATAATAATAATAATAATAAAGTGCTTAAATTTCTTGTGTCCTTTGACAACTTATTTTAATAACGGTGAATAATGCATAACGGTAGACAATGAAAATTCACATAATATGGACAAGTATTATCAAATTCTGTGATTTTATTGTTCAGCTTTTAACAACCGCCTACAGTTGTTAAAAGATTGTCAAGAGATTCATATCATCTTGAAAGAGACTTCACTTCAAAGATCTTATCCCATTGTATCTTGCATATTTATTTGTGAATATTCTTACATTAAATTTTCAATAATAAAAATAGAATTTTATATAATAGTAGAAGATATGTCTATTTCGTTTGATGACTTTTACCTATACATGAACGCTCAGACATATAGATTTAGACGGAACGTGTTTATAATGAATATATTAAATGTGATAATCTGCGCATCATACATCATAAAATTAGTTACATATCATAAAATAATAAAATATAGCATAAAAATAAGAAGATGTATAAACTATAGTGAAATCCATATGTGTGATGTAAAGAAGTCATTCATTTAAACAAAAGAAAGAAAATACGTTTACTATCAAGCGGTTTACATGTTTCATATTTTTTGAAAAAATGTATAACACATGCATACACACACATAGTTTCATTAAGGAAATTTTAATTTATTTGTGTAAACAATTGACCTAGCATACTATTTACTCGGAGAATAAATTACTTAATTAATGAGACAATGAACGTGACAAACCAAAGTGTCACCATAGTGGAGATATAATTATATATAGTGGAGATATAATTTTAACTTTTTTCACTCGTACTGTACTTTGTATTCTTTAATGTTTTGTAGATAATCAAAACCGAATTACGATAAGCAGTCTGTTTATAGTCTTTGTATGGTCTTACAGACATGAATTTATTTTTAATGTTAATAATAGGATATACATCTCTACCCAGAACTTGCTGAATCCTATCTGTCTCTAATATCTCTAGGCCCTCTGAAGTGGTTAAAAGTACAGGACATTCCTGAGATTGCATTGTTTTCAAACATTTGTCCAATGATTCAAATTCGTGTACTTCAAAAAGTACGATCAGGTGCGCTTTTCCATACATCGGATCGGTCATGTAATTACTGTACAACGTACCATAACATTCATAGATAAATTTCTTTTCATTGAAAACACAACGGGGACAAACATCCTGCATACCAAATTCAACTTGTAAGTCTGCTCCTAACAGCACAACTATTAGCACTTGTATATTTGGGAAAAGATGTAACAATATTTCCCAAACTGGTAAACCGTTTTTTTCTATGGAACTTGCTCCTATAACATGAATGATACAGGTAGATGTTGTCAGTAGAATATTAGATAATTCCACATTTGACATTCCGTAATATACCGAGAGCGGTCCTGACACGTAATCCGCATAAATGTAATCCAAGAGATTCCATTCGCTTATTGTCTCTTGTGTATGTTCTTCTATAAATGTTATCATGTCATTGAAGGATCCGTTGTCGGGGAACTTCATAAATTTCAACGATAATGAGGCTTTACTTTCATACTGAACATTTAAGAACTCAATGTTGAGCCACATTGTATAAAGGTCGCAGAAGCTTTCTTCGTGTTGCTCTTCGAATTCTTCCTTGTGTTCTAGACAATAGTCGGCGGAGAAACACTTTTTGCAGGGATATAGTCCGGTCTGCTGATGACAAATGAAGCAGAATCTACTGCAGGTGATCATTTGCTCTTCGTAACTCTCAAGTATGCGCTTTAGATTCAGTTTAACTGATGTATGAAAATCATCCTGTGCTATCCACCATTCCTTCAGATTAAAACGGCGAGTGAGAAATTGCGGGTTGTTCCTTAGATACTTTTCTATAACTATGCAAATCTCGCGGTGTTGAGGAAGATGCAGGTTTTTGTGATCTTCGGAGCAATAAGAGATGAAGAAACACCGATCACATGTTGTCAAATTTATCATCTCCGTAGTCTTCTTGCAAACGTGGCAAAGGTTTGGATGAAAGAACTTGTTGTAATATACAGACATCCACGGTCCAGAGTATGGAAGTAATGTCTTCGTTAGTACGTCCATGTTAGTATGCCTAAATAATATAATTAATATAATATAACTAATGATATAATACAGAATCTGCAATATCAATTTAGAAATAATACACACTATTCGGCACCTTAGCAGAAATAATAGAATCTGCTGTATACAGAGAATTGGTGACGATATGATTGCTCGTGGAATGCTTGAATGTCACTAATAAATTGTTTATGTTTGCTGCTAGGCATTTCGAGAATTGTTTACAGTTTGAGACGTAGTTAATATCAACTGAAACCAGAGGACTAGACAGTCACAAATATTTATATTTATTACCGCAAGTAATATTGTGAATAAATTTCAAACGTACGGCGAATATCGCAGGACATTGTGTTGTCAATATTTTTCAAAATGGAAGTTGATAAAGGCGTTATATTTTCTTACTTTTTCATTTGATTTAAACAATATAAAAGGATGTAATATCCATATATGGAAAAAAATTTTTTTTAAATTGCTGATAGATGTTATATACATTTCTGCAAAGAAGAGTGAGATGAAAATTTTCAAGTTATTAAAAGAGCCTCTAGCTGTCGTCATTTTCAATCATCAATAACTTAATTAATAACTGAAATTGCGATTTTTGCAAAATTTCTTGACTTTACTTGACTTTTCTTCTGAGTTGATCTAATTAATCTTTACAATTTTTCGTTTCCAAAAGATCCCCTACATCCTGTATATATATATATATATATAAATTATATGCGAAAAGCTTTATTTTTTTTCAGCACTGTAATATAATTATTTCAAATTGAAATATTTTCCCGCCGTTTTGTGTTTTTGCAAGGTTGGTATTGAAGTTTCTAAAACGCCATTTATTATGATCCATTGATGTGCATAATTTTAAAAATAATATAATGCAATGAACGGCGATAAAAACTTTATATTCGAGACTGCATTCGATATGAATCCCAGCAAGCAAAAAATGCTGCTAAAGCGTGTGATTCCATTTGTTCCATTTCTGGGGAAAATATTGTATCCCATAATGCTGCAAATATTGGTTTCATCGCTTTAAAGACGGTGATTTTGACACGAGTGATCGTCCGTGCTCTGAAACGCCACGAAAGCTTGTGGTCGACAATTTGGAAGCATTATTGAATGAAAACCCGTCTCAAACTCAAGTAGAACTTGCAGAACAGCTCGGAGTTAACCAAGCAATAGTTTCAAGGCGACTGCATGAAATGGGAAAAATTCAAAAGTTCGGAAAATGGACGCCGCATGAATTGTCACAATACAGCATTATTTGCTGAATAATTATAATATATATTATAATAAAAATTTTAAATATAAATATAATCTATGAATATATTCAACTCAATGTTAGGAATTGCAAATTCCTCGTAATTGATACTCATGGTAAACGAATATTTATAACTTTATACTTTCTCTCTCTCTCTCTCTCTTTATATATATATATATATATAAAATTCGCTGAGCAAACGTAAATCGAACAATCAATCCTTCCTGAGTCACAAACATTTTTCGATTTTGATGACGCAAGTTATTTGTGCGCTCCCATTGATCACATGCGGTGAATAAACGAACGAATATCTTACCATGTCATTATCTTATTATTGCTTGTGACCTCTTTCGAGAAATCCTAATCTCCTTTGAGTCTGCATCTTGAATTCGCTGATGTAATTCTTGTATTGTATTATTTATGAGTGCAGAATACGTAGTAAGTTTCTCATATATCCCCGAAAAAAGAAATCTCCGTGGATTTAACTGCAGACCACTTTTCGAGGAATGTCTCATTTAAATTCTTTCACGGAAGACATGTGTAGAACACTTTCCGTAAATATCAAAATAATAATATATATGTGTATAATTAATTAATAATTATATAATTATATAATTATATAATTAATAATGCTAAAATTAAGTTATACAATTGATACAAATTATAATATTCCTCAATAATTAAAATTTAACAATAATTCACTAATGATTAAAATTAAAATACAATTGATATCAGTTGCATTTTAGTTTTAATTATTGACTGAATTCATTAATTGAATTTGGGTTTTAATTATACTAGGTGCGCAATCAAATTTCCAGGTTTTTTGCTCAATGAAAAATGGAAAATTTCAAGAGAAATACAAAAAATGGTTTATTCAAAGTATCGTCCCTCGCTAGCTACACATTTTTGCCATCTCTCTGGCAATACATGAATACCGCGACGATAAAACGACGCGTCTTTGGACCGAAACCATTCATCCAACCAATTTTGCACTTCTTCGAAATTGGCCAAGTGTGCCCAGCCAAACCATGCGCCATCGATCGGAACAAGTGATAATCGGAAAGGGCCAGGTCTGGCGAATACGGCGGGTGCGGTAGCAGATCCCATTTCAGCGTTTTGATAGTGTCCTGGACGATGGAAGTACGATGGCACGGAGCGTTGTCGCGCTGCAATATCACTCGTTCGTGTCTCGTGTCCCATTCTGGCCGTTTTTCGAGCGATGCATGGTTCAAATTGATCAGTTGTTGTCGGTAGCGATGCCCATTGACAGTTTCGCCCGGCTTCTTTTCAGCAGCTCATAGTACACGATTCCTTTCTGGTCCCACCAAACGCAGAGCATTGTCTTCTTTCCGAAGCGATTTGGCCGTGCCGTCGATGTTGATGCTTCGCCAGATGAAAGCCACGATTTTTTGCGTTTGGGATTCTCGAAATATATCCACTTCTCATCGCCAGTAACAATTCGATGCAGGAAACTCTTTCTTTCATGCCGCAAAAGCAAAATTTCGGAAGTGGCTCTTCGATTGTCCATCTGTCTCTCAATCAACTCATGCGGCACCCATTTCTCTTCCTTTTGAATTCTTCCCATGGCATGTAAACGTTTGGAAATATCTTGGCGAGTCATGTTTAATGCCTCCGCAAGTTGATCTTGTGTTTGCGTATCATCTTCATCCAATAACGCCAAAAACAATTGTTTTTGGTCTTCCGGAACGCTCCTTGCCCTCAGTGTCGAAATCGCCACTTCTGAAGCGTTTAAACCAATCTTCACAGGTAGTTTTCGATAGTGCATGTGCGCCGTAGGCCTCCTCAAGCAAACGACGTGCTTCAGCTGCACTTTTTTTTTCAAGTTAAAGCAGAAAAGCAAAGCTTCCCGCAAATGCTGTTTATTTGGCACAAAACTCGACATCTTCGTTGTTAGAAAAAAATATTTTTGCGTTGCGATATGTGTTGGTATTACGACTGGTTATTATAAACAGATGTCCAAGCTATAAAAAAAACACAACTTCAGACATGTATATCGACTACATTAAAGTCCCTAGATTTATAAAGTACCGCAATCCTCCGCCATTTTGGCTCCAATAACGCGGTACATTCAAAACGCACAGATATGGTATTTTGTAAATAAAATAGGAAAATTGTTCGTGATATTAAATAATGTTTTTATTGATATTTTTTGGTCTTGTTAATATAAGATTTCATCGCAACGCTTCTACTATTATATACAGTTTGGTGCTGAACGGTCAAATTGTCCTTTTTGAGCGAGAAATAGATACGTGCTATTACAAATGTTTTTAATAGTTTAAAAACAATTATTATTATTATTATTATTATTAATTATTATTATTATTATTATTAATTATTATTATTATTATTATTAATTATTATTATTATTATTCTAATATATGATGTGTTACACACGATTATAACTCATTAACTCACAAATTACAGCTCTTGCTGGCAATGTGTCTTTGCCAATTAATCGGAACCATTCATTGCGTCTATCGTTATTCCTAGTACCTGTCGGTAAACGAAATAAGCGAAAACCTTTTTCGCTACGATTTGTACATCCATCCACGCAACACCCTGGTATGTTTCAACAAGCATTCCTTGTGTCAAACACAACTCACGTTAGATAAATTGCACTTAATGTGTAGATACGTTATGAAAGTTGCACTATGTACACTTTTTAACGCCATTTTGGCTCCAAATTCTTATACATTGAGTCTTATGGATTGCGGTACTTTATAAATAGGGACTTTAGACTACATGTGTCATTAGCGCCATCCATGTGTGAAACCCGGAAACTTAGTTGCGCACCTAATACATATGTGTATATGTGTGTGTGTGCATATGCAGGAAAATATTCCGCAGTGACAGCCAAAAAATTTCCGTTATGTGAAGCTTAATTGCATCAACGGAAAATTTCGCGAACCGAAAGGCCGTTCGCGTCAACAACTGCTCTCGATTGAGGCAACTGAAATTTTCAGTCTGGAAGATAAAGTTGCCGCAGCAGACTATTTGGCTACTCTCGCAGAAGGCGCGGAACTATATCGTACATGCAAAGAGAAGCGAAACCTCAATTATCGCGATCGAAGAGATTCGTTTGAAGAAGTCGAACGCCGCTGCCAATGACGCGATTTCCAACTCCGCCGCGCAAGCGTTTTCCCCCTCCACTTGCGCATACAGGAACGCTCTGTTTATCCGTGCGAAGAACGAAACTTGTACCTCCGACATTAATCTTCGTTTTCGATGGCCGAATATATTTCTGAGACTACAGAAGCTTTCTAACGAAATCTCTCTCTCGTGTTGCAACTGAATTTTCAATTGACTCCCGAGGAGGTTCCGTTTGTTCCACTTGCGCACACAAGGACGCACTGTTTATCCGTGCGAAGAACGAAACTTATACCCTCGACATTAATCTTCGTTTTCGATAGCCGAATATATTTCTGAGACTGCGGAAGCTTTCTAACGGAATTTCTCTGATGCTGCAGCCGAATTTTCGATTGACTCTTCAGCAAGCTTCCGTTTCAGCCGTAGCTGAAATTCAGTTATACCAGTCGACTATTAGGTCAATCGGAAAGTTCCGTTCATTTTTTTTGCAAAACGTATGGCTTTATTTAAGAAACAAAATGAAAAAGTACATCAATCAAAATATTGTCCATCGTTAGCGATGACTTTTTTCCATCTTTTGGTCAGCAAACGATTTCCGTGGCGAAAGAATGACTCATCTTTGGAGGCTGTCCAGTCAGAGAACCATTTTTTGACCCATTTTTTTCATAAGAATTGAAGCATTCGTCAGCAAGTGCGTGTGCCATCGACCGAAACAAGTGATAGTCGGAAGGGACACAGTCTGGTGAATAAGCCTCATGGGGTAACACTTTTCAGCGAAGTGCTCTAGCGTTTCCTTGACAGATTTTGTGTGACGTGAGGTCGAGCGTTGTCATGAAACAAAATCACTTTATGCTGTCTCGTTTCATCTTCTAGTCGTTTTTCGTGCAATGCTCGGCTCAAACGGATCATTTGTTCTCTGTAGAGATCCTCTGTGACTGTTTGACCACTTTTCAACAGCTCATAGTATAGCACACCTTTCTGATCCCACTAAATACAGAGCATTGTCTTCTTTCCGTGGATATTCCGCTTTGGCGTCGATGTTGAGAGTTGGCCGGGATCGCAAATAGTTCTTCGACGTTTGGGGTTGTCAAAATAAATCCATTTTTCATCCCCAGTGATGATACGATAAAAACCCCTTTCTCTGTTGCCTAGCAAGCAGAATTTCGCAGGTGGTTTTTCGCCTTTCAATGTCTCTTGGTTTCAGTTCATATGGGACCCGTTTTCCTTCCTTGTAAACCTTTCCTAAGGCTTTCAAACGATCGGAAATGACAGACTGAGCACAATTTAATGCTTCTGCAAGTTGCTTTTGCGTTTGACACGGGTATTCGTCCACCAATGCCTGCAATTCTTCGTCTTCGAATACTCTTGGCCGTCCAGAAGGCTCTTCGTTCTCTACATCGAAATCGCCACTTTCAAAGCGTTGAAACCATTCTCTGCATGTTTTATCGGAAGGAGCATTATCACCATAAACTTCTACAAGCATTCGATGAGCTTCAGCTGCAATTTTCTTCCAATTGAAGCAAAAGATTAACACTTCGCGCAAACGACGCTTATTTGGCTCAAATTTCGACATTTTCGATGCTGTAAAAAACAATATTATTGATAGAACAAATGTATACCTTTATGTACTGAATGTTATTGAGTAGATGTCAAAACAACCATTAAGCTTCGTCCAGATATTAGAGGTTAACGACAGTTCTAGCTACTTGCCGCTAGATGGACGGAACTTTCCGATTTACCTAATAGTTTTTCTACGTGCACAACATGTGTACACTCGCTCAAAGGAACACCGTGCGAAAGGCACGGTGTAGCTATTTGCAGTCGCGACCAAAATTCCACCGCGTCCGACAGCAAGGTGTGTCCAGTAACAACTGCGTGCTTAAATGCGGTGTGTCCGATTGGAACGTGCCCAATTGCAGCGCGAGCAAAAGCTACCGCGTCCACTAAAGCTCGGCCCACAGTGTGCGGCGTCTCGCAAGGAAAAACGCCGCGAGCGAAGCTGCTGCTGTCGTCGCGGAATGAAGCGCGTTTCCCATTTCGCGACGCGGCGTGCGAATAATAAATCACGAAGCAAGCGGCGACATCTTCATCGATTTCACGAACGCGCCCTCGGGTTGTCGCCTCGCGTTCGCGTCACGTCTGCCGCAGCTTGCGCTTGGATTCCTCCAGCGAGTGAGACCGCCAGAGCCAAAGTATCGTCTGATGTTGCAGGTAGTATCGCGGACTCGCTGCCGACTGTCCTCCTCATCCACGGCGACTCCTACTCGTGGGGTGCTGGCAACTCGTTCGACGGGACCGCCCTGGCCGCCCACGGACGCCTCATCGTCGTCTCCATCAATTTTCGCCTGGGCGTGCTCGGTAAGCCGGCGATTTCAACTCGCGACCGCCCGCCATTTTGCCGCCCCGGCCGATCATGTCGGCCGACCGTTCGCGGCCATTCGCGATCATTCGAAACCGCTCGCGGTGGGTATCCCTTCAACCCCCTTCCGTCGCACGCGCGTGTCCCGCGGAAATTCCACCTGGGGAGGGGGGGAAACTTATTACCGCGTATTTGTTCCGGTAGAAAGCAATCTCGGGTTCGAAATAACGCTTGCGATTCTACATTTCCATTCGCGGGATACGTCGCCGTGTGAAAAGTGGAGGATTCTCGCTCGCTCGGGAGAGATCCTCCGGGGCGAAAAGGGCTTAGAGCATCTTCGCGGTTCGGCGAGACGTCGTCGTCGAACGTCGTCTGTTCGCGAGAAGCGGACGCTTCCGATCGAAATCGCTGTCACTCGAAGAGCGACGTCTGAAGACGCCGAGAAGGCGTCTTTGACTCCCCTCGTTGTAAACACCCCCGCCCCGCCCGGGGAGGGGGAGATGATTGCCCCGCCGCGCCGTTGCGCGCGACAATGATGAACAGCGCGCGCACGACAATCGAGACATTCGGGAGAATGGCGGCGGTGGTGCGCGGGCAAACAGCTGATAAAAAGTTTCCGGATTATAAAGAGAGCCCGGCGAGAGTTTACTCCGCTTTGTTTATTATAGAGCGTGCACGCGCGCGCGCGTGGTCGCGGGGCGCCTTTTGTTCTTTCGACAGTCGGAAAGAATGATCTCATTACTCGTGGCAGCCGCGGAGGGGTGGACGAGGAGAGGGGGAGGAGGCAAGGGGGAAAGTTCGCCGAGATCTTACCGGATTACTTTTCGCGCAGTTGTATATACGAGAATTCTCCCTCGGAGGGTTGTTACCCCGCGCGATAGTCGGAACTTTAAAAAGGCGCGACGTCACCCCGAATGTGGATATCGGGGAGCCGGCGAGCCGTAGTCGGCTGCGACAGACAGACAGAGACGGAGCGAGAGGAGCGGCGGAGAGGAAGGGAGGGCGAGCGGGGAACGGTCGCGTGTGCGTGTCAAAATTAAAAACGGGAACAAAGGGAAAGGAAACAAAGGGAGTTTAATGAGGACGAAGAAGGGGATGCACGTAAGGCAGCGTTTTTCACGCGAGTAGATTCTCTCGTGCGCTCGTTTATCGCGCACGACCGGCTCTCTCTCTCTCTCTCTCTCTCTCTCTCTCGAGAATCCGCTGAATGTCGCGCGCATAATTTTAAGGAGGGGGGGGGGGCGCGAGCGCAGAGCAAGGAAAAGGATAAAGAGTAATTGACATCCGTTTCGAGTTTCGCGTTCTCGCGGGTCTTCAGCTGTTATCGATGTTGACCGTTTTTCACTCGGTTCGGCGAATTTTCTCCTTGCCTCCCCCCCTGCCCCCCTCTCTGTCTTCCTCCCGGTCGAGCAAAGTGAGACTGCAGTTTCGCCTTTTGATCCGCTTCGGAAACTTCTCACGTCTGCACTCCGCCAAGTCCTCGCGCGATCTTCCCGTCCAGCTTGCCACCCCTTCCCCCTCTCTCTCTTTTATTTAGCGCGTCGCCGATAAAACGAGCGCGACTCGTGTCCCTCGGAAGACGCGCGGGCGTGTTTACAACTCCGTACGGCCATTCACGAACGAGGCTCGGAGCGGCGGACGGGGTAATTTTCGATATCGATGCGCGCCGTATTTTCAGCGCGCCGCGCGCCGGCTCCGCTTTTTGCGCCCCTCTTTGTCGGCCGCGGCGCGGTACTCCGTATGCGTTTTGTTCGTCGTCGCGGCGAAACAATGCCCACGGTATTATCCGATATCGCGCGCGGCCGGCGCGCTCTCATTCTCTCTCTCTCTCTCTCTCTCTCTCTCTCATTCTCTCTCTCTCTCTCTCTCTCTCTCTCTCTCTCATTCTCTCTCTCTCTCTCTCACTCTCTCTCTCTCTCTCTCACTCTCTCTCTCTCTCTCTCTCTCTCTCTTTTTCTCTCCCTCGATTCTCTCTTCCGTTGTATGATTTTTCTTTCCCCCTTCCCTCGCCCGAATTTCGTTATTCCACTTATTATTCGTCCTCTCCCGGTCGCGTATTTTCGACGCGGCCCTCACGCGAGAATAAAGTCCCGCCGCGATCGGACCGTTACTTTGAATAACACGGCGGGTGTATTTCCAAAACGGTCTCGTATTTGGGAAATCCGCTCGTCGGCCGGCCGGACGTGGACGAGGAGAAAGCGATTGATAAACCGAGACCGGGTCCGACTTCGATTCGACCATACGTTCGCCGACGTTATTACTGCAGTGCAATTATTTACCTGACGTGCTGCTGCAGAAAACGGACCATCGACGCTGAATGCGCGTGGTGAAGGTGGGATGATTAAGCGCGGGCGCGACGTGCGGGGGGTTGAAGGGTGCGGGCGCGAGAAAGGATGGAGCGGAAAGCTCGTCTTGCGCGGCGGCGCGGCGGCGCGGCGAGACCGAAGAGCAAGCTTGAATCGAAGTGAGCGAAATCGGGCAAGATCGGCCGAGCAAATGTTTAATTTCAATTCGGTTTATTCGAGTCGAGCTCGCTCTCGCTTGCCGTTACAATAACTCTGTTGACACACGCGGAAGCGATATCTTGGCTCTCGGCCGGCGCGCCGCGCGGCGCGCCGCCGCGACAGCTGACTCGCCGGCGATTAATTAAGGGTGAACTGGGATGGAAAGCACCCACTTGCCCTGTTGCCGCGAGTCTTGCCGGAGAATGTTTCAAGCGATGTCAAACGAATGCCCTTGAGTGGATTTTCACCGGCCGTGGAAGTTTCAGCCCGCGAAAGGGCTTGAATAAAGTTATACAGGGTGTATCTGAAGTCCGCCGAGACGAAGTTGCGGGAATACTTGGGAATGGCGCGTTGAAAAAGTAAGTGAGAAAAGTCTTGGTAAACACGTGTCCGCGAGAGCTCGCTTTTTCAGACGTGGCCTTCGGAGGATGACGGCGGCGCGGCGGGAGAAAATGTGTCGCGATAAGCGGGCTAAGGACGCGTTGATACGACACGTTTTCTAACTGTTTTTCGAGATAATGCCCGTCAATTTTGATGACGTCATGGATGCCCGCACCTTGGAGGAGCTTGCAGACGTGGCAGAGATCTGGAACAATTTTTATGATACTAATGAGATGTATTTAGTTTGAAGATAAAGTATGTTTTTGTAAAACTAAAGTCGCGCACGCGGCAGCTCTCTTAGAAACTGAGCGTTTGAGGACACATATTTGTTAAGACTCGTTTGTTTCCTTTTTTTTTTATGCGAAGTCTATCCCGTGAGTTTGTTGATGGAGTTTAGACACATCCTGTACATCGCTGATAATGTGACGCTACTTTCCCAGATAAGTCTACGTGCTCTCTGTGATAGTATGTTTGTTTATTTAATCTCTAACAGCAATCATCAAAGAAAATCAAGTTATTGCTATCATGGAGCGAAATATTATCCTAGTGTGTATATTTTTTTATTTTAGAAATCAAAAGAGTCAAACAAATGCAAAACACAAAAAACTAAACGTCTTATTATTATTGTTATTGAATATTAAGTGAAAAGTAGAGAGGCTTTTGTGTTTGCAGGGGATAATTTAATATTTAATAAGATCAAAACAAAATTTTCTCGTGTAGGGTGAAATTTCATCTCGGTATATATTTTTTATTTTAAGAATCAAGAGTCAAACAAATACAATTATATATTTTATTACTATTGGATATTAGACGAGAAGTAGAGTAACTATTGTTTGCAGCGGATAGTTTAACGTTTAATAAAATCAACAAAATTTCTTCGCATAGGGTGAAATTTCACTTCAGTACATATTTTTTATTTTAAGAATCAAAAGAGTCAAACAAATGCAATTAAATGTTTTATTATGACTGAATATTGAATGAAAAGTAGGAGAATTGTTTGCAGCGGATAATTTAACGTTTAATAAAATCAGAACAACATTTTTTTCGTACGGAGTGAAATTTCACTCTAGTACATATGTTTTATTTTAGAAATTAAAAGAGTCAAACAGATGCAATTAAATGTTTTATTATGAATATTAAATGAAAAGTAGGGAAACTATTGTTTGCAGCAGATAATTTAATAAAATCAAAACGAAATGTTTTCATATAAAGTGAAATTTTAGCCCAGTAAATATTTTTTTATTTTAGAAATCAAAAGACTCAAACAAATGCAATTAAATGTTTTATTATGACTGAATATTAAATGAAGCGGATAATTTAACATTTAACAAGATCAAAACGAAATGTTTTTGCATGGAATCAAAATTCACTCCAGTATATATTCTTCTATTTTAGATGTCAAAGAAGTCAAACAAATACTTTATCACATAAGTACTTTATTATTATTGAATATTAGATGAAAAGTAGAAAAGCTGCTGTTCGCAGCGGATAATTTAACGTTTAATAAAATCGAAACAAAATTTATTAGTACGGGGTGAAATTTGACCCCACTACATATTTTTAGAAATCAAAAGAGTCAAGCAAGTGCAATTAAATGTCTTATTATTATTGAATATCAAATAAAAGATAGAGAAACTATTGTTTACATCGGATAATTTAACATTTAATAAGATCGAAAGAAAATTTTGTCGCATGTGATGAGGTTTCTCTCACGGTAGCCTTTAAGGGCCCAATCACCCAAAACTGTTCTTTTGCGTAAATGATGTAAATTAAAAGACGGAGCGACCACATTGCAGCGAATTAGATTAGCTTAGAAGAAACATTAATTCGTTATTATATAAACATAATCACACTGCACAGATCAATCCGGGAAAGTAGTTGTGATGTTAACACCCCCAACTTCTCTTGGCACTGAGTTTCCAGAAATTAGACGTGTGAGCGGTTTTCGAAAGTTCGTCTCTTAAATCAGAATTTTCTTTCCCTCCCTAAAGCACTCTCTCTCTCTCTCTCTCTCTCTCTCTCTCTCTCTCTCTCTCTCTCTCTCCCTCTCTCTGTCTCTATTGTACTCTCTCCCGCGACGTGATCTTCTTGAAGTTAAAAGCAGCTGATTCCGAGGCCGCAGCGAGCTCGCAATTAGCACAATAACATGAGCTCTTTGGTCACGTTTGCGTGAGGAGGTCCGAGCCGACGCGGAAGACAATCGCGGAGAACGAAAGAGACCGCAGCGCGAGGCGTCGCGCGGAATTGTCCGAGTAAACGCGAATTTTCTCTCTTTTTTTCCCTTTTCCTTCTCAAGTGACAGCTTCCGCCGTCGGTTCGTGCGGAAAAGAGAGAACCAGAGAGACAGAGAGAAAGAGAGAGAGAGAGAGAGAGAGAGAGAGAGAGAGAGAGAAAGAGATAGAGAGAGAGGGGGGAGGGGGAGGCGCGCGCGCAGGGCGTCGCGGGAGATCACGTATCGCTTTCGCGCGACGCTTTCGCGCGGAAGATCCGCTATCGCGAAAGCGCCGTTATAATTCGCGAGCGGCGCGCTGATTCACTTAGCCGCGCGTAAATGAGTCGCCCCTAGCTAATCCGGGCGCATTGAAACCAGGCTTTCTGAAAACCGGGTCGAAAGGGAGCGCGCAGGGCAATTACGGATTGATGGATTTGGTGGCGGGGCTTCATTGGCTGCGCGAGAATCTCGGCGCTTTCGGCGGCGATCCGGAGAGACTGGCGCTGCTGGGCCACGGCACCGGGGCGGCTCTCGCCAATTTTTTAGCCGTCTCCCCTATGGCGAAAGGTAAGGCGTTCCTAATCGTCTACCGGCTCGCGAGCGCGCGAGCGCGGGGAAGCCCGAGGTGCATGGCGGCGTTCGCGGGGCGAAACGCGCCGGCCGGTCCCGTTGAGATTTTAATTCCGTAGATTTCAACATCAAGGCGGAGGGTGTTTTTTAACGCGCTTTTAATTAATTTCTGCGATACGCGCGCGGGATATATCGCGGAAATTTCATTAAATACTCGGCGAGTCCGTGAAAAATTCGCGAAACAAACGAAACAACGCGGCGCGTCGTGAACCGATTTTTCTCGAGACATTTAATTTCTTTCACTCGCGGGAACTGGCAATTCTTTACGCGATCGCGCGCACTGACGCTGCAACAGTTCGGAGCGTCAATAATTTCAACTTGCAGATGCAACGCGCAGAGCGGCTGTTTAAACTGTCGGGAAAAAAAAAAAAATATGAAGAGGATAAAGAATAAAAACGCGAAAAATGAAAAACGGAAACGAAACCGGGAGATAAAAATATAAAACGCGCGTGGAAAATAAATAAAGGGAGAAAAAAAGAAATACACACGTAATCTCTATGTTTGTACAAGACGAATCATTTTTTATTAAAAGAACGGGGCGATAAATTTCCCACTTTCGCTACGTAACGCTGGAACGGTAAGCAAAAATATCGCGCAGAAATATAACTCGCCAGCTGCGGCTGCACTTTCGATATATCTCGGTCGCGCCGTAATAATCATGCGAAGAACTACCGACTGACCAGCGGGAGAGACACAACCTCTCGGAGAGAAGCCTTGTCTCAATCCTATATGTTTCATCGCGCGATTCGCTCGCCAGGAACCTGCAGCCGCTGAGGCGCACGTCAGCGGACAACAGTAAACACGCGAGCGCGCGATTATATAAATATAACATTAAATAACGCACGAACCAGTTGACAGTCAACACCAAACGTCCTGTCGGGCACCGCGCTGCGCAGCGGTATAAAATAATTTGGCCGCTAATAATTACGACGAGCGCGACGCAAAACGCCACGGCCGAAATGTTGGCTTTGGCGCGAATATATCGCGCAGTCGCGCGATACTGATACGCCGGATTTTATTAGTAGCGCGCGATGCATCATTTCGAGCAAAATTCTCTCCGTGCGCGCGCCATGCATTTATCTATTTTCCCAACTCTCCTTCGCCCTCCCTCTCCCTCTCTCTCTCTCTTTCTCTCTCTCTCTCTCTCTCTCTCTCTCTCTCTCTCGATCTCTCTGCGCCTCGCAAGCTCCGACCGCACGCTCGCCGATGCATTGGACCGCTGATAAATCCCCCTTCCCCCCTCCTGTCCCGCGTCTGAATTATTAAGCACCGCGGCGGTCCTTCGGCGAGCGCCGCGTCTCTCGCTCGACCAAGAAAGAGAATCGGCCTGATCGCGTTTAACATTCGGCCGACCACGAAAGCGGTCCTTCCAGAGGGACGCGCTAATTACAGCCAATTGGATAACGTTGCCGGTATATAACATGCCGTGTCTGAGCTTCGCCCCGACGAAAGAACGCGAGAGAGAGAGAGGGAGAGAGAGAGAGAGAGAGAGAGAGAGAGAGAGAGAGAGAGAAAGAGAGAGGGGGGGGATAAAAAAGGAGGAAGGAGCAAGAAGAGAGGAGGAGCGAGGCTAGCCGGGCTTCACGCGGGTTAACAAAAGAGCGATTTCCCGTTGGCGGATTATCGGCTTTCGAAATAATAAAGCGACGACGTACAGCCGCTGCGTTTTCGCGAGCCGGCCGGCAATTTATACATAAGCGGGCGCTCTCTTCGTGCTCCCCCACCCCCCTCCCTCCTCCCACCTCAGCCGACCGGCCGATCGGCCGGCGCAATTAGCGAGGGGGCTGCAATTCGCCGCGAATTATAGAGCTGATCGGGAGGGTGATCCTGCTCGGAGGCTCGGCCCTCTCGCCATGGGCGGTCCAGCGGGACCCGCTGACGGTGAAGCGCCGGGTCGCCGATCAGACCGGCTGTCCGAGCGACGTCGAGGCCGACGACATCGCACCGTGCCTTCGCTTGAGGAGCCTGGAGGAGCTGCTGGCGGTGAAGCTGGACCCGCCGAGATTCACTTCCGGCTTCGCGCCCTTCGTCGACGGGGCCGTTCTGCCGCCGACAGTCAATCAGGTGAGAGACCACCTCGACGTCCCGCTGCCCCTCCCCTCTCGTCCTGACCGGATAGGTCGCAACGCGCCGCGTTTCCGTTTCCTGTGCGACCAACCTCGCCTTCTTCATATCGCGCTCGCTCTTAGCTTTAATGCTCGCCCGATCGATCGCGCTCGCCAACCCCTCCCTCCTCTTCCCTCTTCCTCTCTCTCTCTCTCTCTCTCTTTCTCTTTCTCTTTCCGGAGGAGACGGAGGATCCAGCCGCACCAGTCGCGACATCGACATCCGCGGTCATAATTAAAGGCCAATAATGGGGGAGGGGATATTAAAGTCCAACATCCCGACCCTCTGGATAATTATCGAGCGCGTCGACGTATGTCGGTGACCCTTTCCTCGTTGCGAACTTTGGCGCGCGATAAGCGCGTTTTTCAGCAAATTTGCATTTATACATCCTCGGCGCCCAACGGCGTCGGGCCGCGTGGGGTGCGAGCGCATGTCGTCGGGGAGCGCGCGTTATACGTGGCCGCGGCGGGCGCGGGGGCGGCGTAAATAAATATAACCGCGGGTGTTGTTGCATAAACACGTCGCCGGCGACGAGAGCGTGCCATTTCCAGACGATTACGGGAGCCGCGAATCTCGTCGTAATTGCACACGGATATTAGCCGAGCCGCGCCGGCCGACCGGTTGGCCGGCGTATTGATTTTGCGCGGGGCACGGACCAGACGACAGGTAAACGATGAATCTGCTAATTGAACGGACAACCGGCTGACAGATGACGGATCCGAGAACCGTAATAGCTACTTCGCGCGTGCTCCATTAACCTATCCGCCGTGATAGTGCGACGTGTCTCTCCCTTTCTCTCCCCCTCCTTTCTCTCTCTCTCTCTCTCTCTCTCTCTCTCTCTCTCTCTCTCTCTCTCTCTCTCTGTTCTCGCGGGCTCTCGTCGTCGTCGTCCTCGTCGTCGTCGTCGTCGCGATATCGCGCGGACGCGCAACCGGAAGTGCCGGGCGAAGAACCGAGAGAAGAACGAGCGAGCAGGCGCCGCGAGTCCGATCGATAGCGGAGGCGCGCTCCTCGCGAAAAGCGCGGAAAACCGGGGCGACGGCGGGAGAGGAACGGAAAAAGAGAGAGAGAGAGAGAGAGAGAGAGAGAGAGAGAGACAGAGATAGAGAGGGAGAGGAGGGGAGGGGGGGAAAGCGACGACGAGAAAAGAAAGACGCGTCGATCAGAACTTCCAGCCCACTGCCTCTTCTTCGGGACTGATGCCGATCGTGCCCGGACCCGGCGCTGAATTCGCGGACTTTGGCAACCGCGACCTGCTCTTCGGTCTGACGTCCGAGGAAGCCTGGCTGAACCTTTCCGAGGATGATCTACAGGTGAGGTCGATTCGTGGCCGCCTCGATCCGGCCGAGTAGTCCGGGCTGGCTCGTTCGCGCACGCAGAAAACCGCTCGGTCGATGCAGCTGAATTTCAGTCGCGACAAGCGGAACCTTCCGTGCCGCGGGAAGCAACTGAAAATTCGGTGCCAACACCGAGGGAATTTCCGTTCGAAGGTTTTTGCCGTCTCAGAAATGTATTCGTTTCCCTGGACCGAGCACTAACCCTTTGCGCTCGGGGAATATTTCCACATTTCCTTTTTCACTTTTCAATTCGACGATTATAAGTATAATTAAATACTAAATTCCCATAGAAATTGCAGAAAAGATCTCTATTTCCTTTAATGTTGCCGCCGCATTTTATTGTTTCATCGCGCTTTCTCTTTCTCTCTCTCTCTCTCTCTCTCTCTCTCTTTGAGTCTTGTTCGTGCCAGCACAGCTGGCATTCCGAGTTGCCGGAATAATTGCTAATGTCAGCTGTACTGGCATACCGAGTGCAAAGGGTGCAAAAGTTTCGTTTTTCACGCGGATAAACAGAACTGCGTGCGTAAGTGAAGGGGAAAAATATTCGAAAATCGCATCATTGGCAGCGTCATTCCACTTCTTCAAACTTCATCTCTTCGGTCGCGGTAACTCAGATTTCACTTCTCTTTATATGTACGATATAGTTCCGCGACTTCTGCGAGAGTAGCCTTTGCTGCGGTGACTACATTTTCGAGACGGATTTTAGTTCCTTCAATCGAAAGCGAATGGTTCTTCGGTTTGCCAAACAGAATTATCTGTTATTGAACTTCATGTAACGGAAAATCTCCAATTGTCTCTACAGAATATTTTTCTGCGTATATCCTGTGTACACGATTTCTTCAGTACTCAGTGTTCAATTCTTGCACGAAGCATGCATCCGTAAAGCTCTCGCACGTGTAAATTAGGCCAAGCCGAGCGGAAAGCTCTTGTACTATTTTGCGTATACCCGCGCGTGAAATGTCGAGTTATTTAATTAAAGGATGCATTTGCGCGATTTGTTGAACGAGAGCGACGGAGACGACGTCTGCGTTTGTCGGATAAGTTGAACAAAGGAGGGTGTGTGATTCTGCAAAAAAACACGCAAAATTCCGAGATTATTAATCAGTGAAGATTAGTACATAATCCTGCGCAATCATTCACGCAGATATGCTCGCTAATTAATAACTCGGAATTTTCTGCGTGAGTTCTCTGCGAGATGTCGGAGGACTTTTCTTGCTCAGTTTCACCTAATCCATAAGCGCGAGGGACGGCAGAAGTCGCCATCACGACTCATTTAACAGATCGCGCAAGAGTTCACTCACACTAATCCCCCGTAACTTATAACTCCAAATTTCACACTTGCCTGTTCGCGATGCGGCAGCGGACGAAAATTTTTCGCTCAGGCCAATCTAATTCTGTCAATTTGGAAGGTTGACGATGAATGAATGGATGGCTTCTAAAAGTAAGTCTTTTCTCTACCGTGGAATCCATATTGCCAGGAAGATGGGAAAAGGTTGCAGCAAACGATGGAAAACATTCTGATTGGAATAATTTAAACAATAAATAATAAGTAACAAACAACCCATTCGTCGTCAACCCTCAAAGTTCACCGAAACATCTAAAATTTCACATGTACACCCGGTACATTAGGTGTATGCAAAAGTTTTAGATTTTTTTTAGCCTGATGCAATTATTTCAAATTGAAATATTTTCCCACCGTTTTATGTTTTTCGCTGGTATTGAACTCTCTAAAACGCCATCCATCATAATCTATTGATACACATAACCTTAAAAACAATAGTTGCTACGAATGAGCGACGAAAAACTTGTATTCGACGCTGCATTCGATATGAAGCAAGGAAAAAATGCTGCTACAGCATGTGAATCCATTTGCTCCGTTCTTGAAGAAAATATTAGATCCCACAATGAATTTGAAAATATTGGTTTGGTCGTTTTAAGGACGGTAATTTTGACATGAACGATCGTCCGCACTCCGAAATACCACGAAAGCTTGAGGCCGACAACTTGGAAGCGCTGTTGAATGAAAACCCGCCCCAAATGCAAGTAGAACTTGCAGAGCTCGGAGTTGACCAAGCAACAGTTTCAAGGCGATTGCATGAAATGGGAAAAATTCAGAAGCCCGGAAAATGGGTGCCGCATGAATTGTCGCAAAACAACATTACCCGCCGGTTGACTACGCGCGTTGCTTTCCAAACAGCGCAAAAAAGAGTTTTTGTGGGATACTATTACTGAAAAGCGGATTATGTATGATAATCCTAAACGCAGACATTCGTGGTGGACCTCGTACAGTCTTCTACATCAGTGACGAAAGCAAATATTCACAGCAAAAGGCTCCTATTGTATATTTTTAAGGTTATGTGCACCAAGAAAGTTCAATACCAACCTTGCGAAAACACAGAACGGCCCGGGAAGATACTTCAATTTAAAATAATTATATAAGAAAAGTGAAAAAGAAAACTCTCTCTTTTATAAGCGGAAAAAACTGCGAGCCTTTTACGCTGTCACCGCGCGCCTATCGATTTCATCAAGAAATTCGTGTCGGGGCGGAAGTAATATCCTGATTAATAGCCGGCGCCTCGTGCATAATATGTAATTGACGTTGATTGGATATAGTTCGACAAATTGATGGGCTTTACGCGGAGGGGAGCAGCACCGGCCTGTGCTCGCGGGCAACTCGCTCCGGATATTATTGACTCGCTGATGGTCATGGCCGCTGGGCCGCGCCGCGGAGCGAGTCTTTCCACTTTGCCTGATCGAATTCCGTTGCGTACGAATCGGCGATCAGATGCATACTTACCGCCGGTGGCGAGCGAGTCGTTTGTCACTGCTCGCGCGAACGACCGAAATCGTTCGATTGCCAGCGGGCTGTTGGCGCTTTCTCGCGCGCCGCTCCTGACGAGCCCCGCGAAGCGCCCGGCGGACAGAGATCGCACTTTCAGCGCGATCGCGAGAGGGCGCAGTTTTTCTCGCATCCGCCCCGGCGTTGTGCTCTTTTCGGTGCTTTATTAACCCTTAAAGGCTGCCGAGGGTGAAATTTCATCACCTGCGAAATCTGTTTCGTTTTTATTGAATGTTAAATTATCCGCTGCAAACAATAACTTCTCTACTCTCCATCCAGTACTCAATAATAATAAAGTATTTAATTGCATTTTATAATGAAGCATTTAGTATTGCATTGGTTTGACTTTTTATTTCTGAAAATAAAAAAATGTATTTCACCCGCGACGGCATTAACGTGATTTTCTTTGACGGCAGCTTTTAAGGATTAAACAAGTAATAGTGGCGAGTGACGATGGTATTTGCTGCGTAAACGTTTCTCCCAACTACAACCCTTTCGCTGTGCGGTCATATCGGGTGAGCGGTGGGAGTTTTCATGACTTTCGCGGTGGAAAAATGGAGCGAGAGTAATTTTATTAAAAACGATTCATCCTCTCACTCCACCGAGTAATTGATTATCTCTTGACAGAAAACAACGGCAATTTCACCCGGTACACGCAGAAAACTATTTTCCGTTGATACGGCTGAATTTCAGTTACGACAAGCGAAATCTTCCGTTCCGCGGGAGTCGACTGAAAATTCGTTTGCAATGCAAGAAAAATTCCGTTGGAAGGTTCCTGTGGTCTCAGGAATGTATTCAGTCACCCGAGCCGGACATTAACCCCTAAACACTAGGATGGCTGGAAATTTATCCGATGATATTCTTTATCGGATAAAGTAAATTTAATTTTGTGGAGCAAAGTTGATGTATATTTTTTGCATTTTTAAATATCTTAAACCAGTGTTTCCCAATCCTTTTTGTATTTCGCACTCCTAAAAATTTATTAATGAACCTTTGCATCCCCTACAAAAAAAATTATTCGTATATTTTATGGTAAAAATTAGTTGTTAGGGTTTTAAGGTAAGAAGTTAATTTATAATAATTTATTGTCACATAGTATTGTTTCATAGAAATTAACTATCATTTTAATATTATAAAATTATAATTAATGGTATTGAGCTTCGCACAGTGATACGTGATGAACATATACGTACAGATACGAAAAAAATATATAATTTTAATGACATTTTTTTTAATTTGATGGTAAATATGCTGGATTATTCCAGAATTCATCTTAATGATTATTAATTATAATCTTTTTTCTACAGTGAAAGGACACTGTTTCTTTTTCAAAAATTTGTATATAATTTAAAACTGTTTTGTACGTTGCTACAAAATTTTACTAAATACTTATTAAAAAAAAAGAATGAAAAATTTATGGATGGAAATTTACCCGGGAAATTTAGCGATGGGAGCTAACAAAAACACCCTAGTGTTTAAGGGTTGGCATTGTCAAGGGTACAAGTTTCGTTCTTCACACGGATAAACAGAACGGAGGGAAGGGCGGGGAGGGGGCGCATAATTGGCAGCGTCATTCGATTTCTTCAAACGAGTCTTTCCGGCCGCGGAGGTTTCGCTTCTAGTTTCGCGCCTTCTGCGAGAGCAGCCGAATATTCCGCTGCGCTGGCTATATTTTCGCACCGAACAATTGGAGTCCCTTCAATCGGAGGCAGTTATTGACGCGAATGGTCCCTCGGATTGCGGAACAGAATTTTCCGTTACTGCGAGCGAGCCTCGCAGCGTAGCGGAAAATTTCTGGCTGTCGCTGGAGAATATTTTTCTGCGCGCAGCAATGGCGATCTGCGCGTCGCTAACACCAACACTGTTAACATTGAAACGACTCCGCCGAGCGCGGTTCTCTCAGCGTGCGCGACCACCGCTCGGACTCTCTCCTAGCTGCGCTTTTTCTCGGCGTGCGTTACGAAACAGGCGACTCTTACGGTTCGCAGAACGGCTTGAACGAGACGAGGAGAGATCGTATATTGCGCACTTACGTCCGGAACACCTACCGGTACCATTTGCATGAAATCTATTCGACTCTTCGGAACGAGTACACCGACTGGGAACGGGGCGAGCAGAGTCCCGTGGCGATCTGCGACGGTCTCTTATCTCTCCTCGGAGACGGCCAAGTCGCCGCGCCGCTCCTCAGACTGGCCCTACTGCACTCCGCCTCCGCGGGACGGGGCTATTTCCTGCACTTCCAGCCCGATGATCGACCGAGCCAGAAGGGCGAGGAAGTGCCGTATCTCTTGGGCATACCTCTTCTTCGCGGCGAGCTCACGTCCGCGACGTCCGCCTTTGGCAACTATACGACCGCCGACGAGAACCTGTCGAAGCTCCTCGTCCATTACCTGGCCAACTTCGTGAGGCGCGGGTGAGTCCTCGCGCGATCGCTTTCATCTCCCGGCTTTTTAATTCTGCATGGCGGGCATTCCGATTAACGACGTGTCTCTCGCGTATTATACGAGACACGCGTGTGTTTAATATTCGCCCGACGGCGGTAACGCGCCGCTCGCGAAGCTTCCGATGGCTCTCTCTCTCTCTCTCTCTCTCTCTCTCTCTCTCTCTCTCTCTCGGATCTCACAGCCGATCGCAGTTTTCGGCCGGCGGGGGCAACTTCCTGGGCGAAACACGAGCGATCCCGGCTCGAGTTATCCGAACGCGCAATCTCAGCGAGACTGAGATCTCTGCTTAACTCAAACAGAATACTGGCATTTTCCAGCCGGAATCGCTCGGACTCGAGCGGAAAATTCGTTCATTCGAGCAAACATTTTTCCCCGTATGTAACGCAGTCGTTGGGAGGGTCATCCTTTGAACAAATATATTCGGGGCGGAATGAGAATCAATTATTTTTAATAACGTCACCCGGTTTCTTTCCTTCATCGCGAGATCCATCGGAACTTTTGCACTCTCCCTGAATAAGTATTAGGAGCGTGATTTAATTCTGAGGGCTTTGTTCTCAAAGACTGATTTACTTAACAAGGTAATGAACAAATACTTTAATCAACATATTTCCCTCCGTTTTCTACAACTTCCTCCCATCTTTCTGGCAAGAGATGGATTCCGCGACGGTAAAAAGATTCTTCTTTGAAGTTTCTTGAAAAATAAATTTCAATAAATTTTCGCACTTGTTCAAAGTTGTGAAAGTGTATTGCATTGACCGGAACAAATGATAATCGGATGGAGCAATATCTGGAGAATACGCGGGATCCGCTTCAGGCTTCCCATTCCAGCTCTAACAGCGTTTGCTTCACTGATAATGCAATATGTGAGGTCGAGCATTGTCATGAAAAAGAATCACTTTGCGTCGTTTACTCGCATTTGGTGATCGTTTTTGGTCCAATGCTCGCTTCAATTTGTATAATTGTTGTCGATAACAATCAGCGGTGACAGTTTCATTCGGATTTAACAGTTCATAGTATACAACAATACCTTTTTGATCCCACCAAATACACAGCAATACCTTTGAACTGTGAATATCGCACCTCGAAGTGAATGTTGCTAATTGGCTCAATTCAGTGGATCAATTCACGATTTTTTTCGTTTAGGATTATCGAAATAGATCCATTTTTCATCCTCACTAACAACTCGATATTCAATAAAACTCTTCATCTTTTGTCTGGCGATTAACAAAATGCAAATGTTCAACCGGATCGCAATAACATTTTTCAATAATTGACGTGGAACCCATTTCTCTTCTTTGTGAATCTTTCCCATATCTTGTAAAAGTTTAATAACTGTTGTAATACTTTTCAACAATATTTCCGATCCAACATTTGATAGTCTGGCAAGTTCTGAAGTGGATTGTGCTGGATTTTCCTCCAATAATGCTTGCAAATTTGCATTTTCAAGCTTTTTCGATTATCCCGAGCGATCTTAACATTGAAATCACCACTTCTGAATCGTCTAAACCAATATTCACGTGCCTCAATTGATGGAGCAACACCGCTACAAATTTCTGTCAGAATTCTATTCTATCTTCAGCCGCCATTTTCTTCTGATTAAAAAACAAAAGCAACGTATGTCGAGGATGCTCTTCAGGAAGCTCCGTTTTTAAGACGGTGCCAACACGATTTTGACTGCGTCTAATAAACGACTAAATATCATGGATTAATATTAGAGCATTAAGTAACAACAGCTGTGATTGGAATGTCTTCGTCGAAACTGACATCAGTGCCATCTCTTGCAAAACCCTCAAGCCTAAATCACACCCCTAATACATCCGATAGGGAGAATGGCGAATCTACGATCGCGGCGAACGGAAACGCAAATTGCGTCGACGACAGGCGGGAATTTTGACGCGCCGTCGTCTCGCCGCGCCGGTTGACACGCGCTCGAGCCACGGAGCGAATCGATAACGCGGCGTCGCGAGATAACGCGAGTGCACGAGTGTGAAAGGGTTAATCGGATAAGCGAACGCGCGCTTCTTGTTAACTCAGCCGGCTCCAAGTCGGGACTGAACTTAAGTATCACATGCACTTCGATTACCCTCCGTGAAGAGGGTCTGAAAGGTGGTAGTTGTTAGGGTGAAGTTACAGCCGGGGAAGGATTTTGGAGGCAAACTCCCGCAAAGGCCGTTAACGCGCGTTCAGCGGAAGCTCGCAATCTCCGAGCCGGGGCGAAGACGACGGGCGGGAGAGGGAGAGGACGTAGAGGGGGAGACGCCGAGTGATTTCGGTTTCCTTAATTGCGAATCGCCGGCTATCCGGATGATTGCTCTGTCATTGACACGGAGAATTTTGCCGGATGGAATTTCGCCTCCTGCGGCGAATAATCGCGCGCGGCACTCCTTATCGGAGGCCGGTCCGACGTTTCGTTCGGAAACTTTCTTCATCTCGCGGCGTATCGCGCGAAATACGACGTTCCCGACTGATGTCGAGTTTGCATCTACGCCGCTCACGCGCCCACGATGTCGTCGATATTGAATTTTATCAGGCGACTCTTGGCCCTGGCGAGACTCCTGCTTGATGACGTCGGAGAAGCGAGGAAGTTCACATTGAAAATCCCTATCCGAATCTCGCGTCGAGATAAAACACCTGCGGAAACTGGCCTCTCGCTCTAACCAGTAACGGTTGACCGTAAAGTTAACGCGACGTGCATCCGCCTTAACCAGTTCATTGCTAATGACTTATATATGAGCGAAGAAAAAAAAGTGCCACAACTGGTAATGACTCGTATATGAGCGCCATGAATAGCTCTGCTTTCAACAAATTTTCAACAGATTTATATTATATTTGATACACCCATGTTTTTTGGGTCGTTCACTCTGAATTCGGAATCATTGAATTTGGAGGAATTCATAATGGCGGATCCAATATGGCGTCGCTTAAATTCTCAATTTTATCAGGTTTTAAAAACATTTATTAAGATTGACATCCCCATTTGATTTTATATGAAATCTTTATCGAGAGTTTTTCGGATCACTGGTGACGAACGCGGGGTCAAAGCTTCAAAATTCAAAATGGCAGATCCAATATGGCGGCTCCGAGTGACTAATTTTGTTATTCCATTATGGAGAAGATCATAATCAATAGGTTTATGAGTTTTTTGAGTTGCCGATGATGAATCCGGAATCAAATTTGAGAAATTCATCCTGGCGAATCCAATATGGCGGCGCTTAAATACTCAATTTTGTTAGTTTTTGAATATTTATTGAGACTGATATCTCCATTTGATTTTGTATGAAATCTTCTGTATAGAGGTATAGGTAGGACAAAGTCGAAGTCGAAATTTCAAAATAAAAAATGGCAAATCCAAAATAGCATGTCCAAATGACAAATTTTGTTATTCTATTATGGAAAAGATCATGTTCGATATGTTTACAGTTTTTGGTGGTTTTGCTGATGATAAATCCAGTCGAAATTGCAAAATATAAAGTGACAGATTCAATATGGCGGCTTCTAGTGATCAATGATATTCCGTTATGGATGTTACCTTCATTATTAACGGATGAGCTATATTGAAGGAAGCTACTTCTTTGCTGAAAGGCTTTGATGGAATCTTCGAATTTATGACATCGTTATCTGCGACCAAAAAAACCTATCGAGTTTGATACGTACTCATAATGGAAAAAAGTTAGCCCTTTGAAGCCTCCATATTGGTATATCCGCTAGTTTGAATTCGGAAACTTTGACGCTGGATTCATCACCCGCAATCCAAAGAAATCCTTATAGACAAATTTCTATGTAAAATATGAAACTATTGGCTCTCATCAGTTAGCACAAGACATTAATTTCGGGTCCACCAGTGAGCTGGTTAACCCACCTCTTCTCACGGTCCCATCACGCGGCTTTTTCGTCTGTTTATCGAACACTCTCGGGGCGTTTTAGAAACGTGGTAAATTGCCTGATCGCAAGCGTTACTTTACGCGGGCGTTTCTTCTCATCTCGATGCGATCAGCAGGAACGTTAGCATAGATTCCCTCGCTCCCGACGTCGTCATTCAAGATGGCTGCTGCGAGAGAGCGTGAAATTCCTCGTTACAAACTGCGAGCGACGAGGCAATATGTCCCGCGACGTAAGATGTCGCGGTAGAAAGAACGAATGGCGGAACCCGAAGGCGGAGGAAGCACGAGAAACGAGGTGCGCTAACGGAGAACTGTGCGTCCAATTGTCAAAGGGTCGCGGTCCGCTCGCTGTTTCAGAGATCCGAACGGCGCGGGTCCCTTATCCCCGGGACTGGAGGGCGGCCTAACGAGCCCGCCGTTCTGGGACGCGTACGACTCCATAAACCAGTTGTACCTGGAGGCCGGCCACAGCCCAGAGATGCGTTCGCACTACAGGGGCCACAAGATGTCGCTCTGGCTGAACCTACTGCCGCAGCTCCACCGGCCGGGCTACGAGATCAATATGCGCCACCACCACCTGGCGGAGAGTCCGGGCCTCTACGAGGGCCCGGTGCGGCCTCAAAGCACGGCCGTGCCGTTACCGGCGCCCCCGCTGCCCTTGCCATCCCCCACGGAGCCGTCGTCGATATTGAACGTGTTGTCCACCACGGAGTGCACCCCAAACGCGACCGTCGCGACCACGATCACGCCGACGACTTCACAGACGCTGCAGCAGTCAAACCTGGGCCCGGGCCCGAACAACATACTGCGCAAGCTCGCGTCCAGCCACTACCAGAGCTACACCACGGCCTTGACAGTGACCATCGCGGTCGGGGTGTTTTTGCTGCTGCTCAACATCCTCATCTTCGCGGGGATCTACCACCAGCGCGACCGGAACACGAGCGGCGGGGGCGGCGGCGGCGGCGGCGGCGGCGGCATGGCCGCCGCCTTCGGCAACAAGAAGAAGGAGGAGCTGCTGGAGGCCGGTTGCTCCGGTATGGACGCCGCCACAGGGAAGCAGCACTTGTCTTCCATGAACCTGATCAACT